CATAATTAATATTTAACGCACTAACCCAATGAAACTATTAAAGAGAATCTTGATATCCAAACAATTATTTATATGATTGTATAGTTGAAAATTTGCTTAGATAATTAATTTATACATTTTAAAAAACAATTTTAATTTTAAAAAAACGCTTATACTTACTATGCAAAATAATCACAGACACTTGTAAGTATGTATCACAGAACAAGACAACTAAGACACTTTATATAAGTTTTGATTTTAAAGAGGTTTATATGTAAATTGTTTTAGTAATTTATAATTTTAATAATCTTAATGCTTGTATCTTTTTCATTATTATGATTAGACAGATAGTTTACAAATTTGGAATCATGGAGAATTTTCAAAAATCTGATTTGCCATCTGATCAGTTACGAATGAAGATTATTTTACAAATTTTCTCTGCATCTATTATTTTCAAAAATCTGAAACATTAATTAGTAATATTATAATTATATTCAAAATACTAGATAATACAAATATATACTTATTATATTCTGCAATTCTAACTATATAATTTGATTTATCAGTTAGGCTAAGCTAATTAATTTTCATCGGCTTAGCAGATTTTCTAATTAGGTTATTGTGTTCACAATTACTGTTATTTGTTCTGAACTTTTTATTGTCATGTTATATTACAACTTGATTAGTCTAGTAATAATTAATTAAACTTGAAGAATACCAAAATTAACTGGACAAAATCATGTAACTAGTAGTGAGTAACTATGTTTTAAAATTTTTGCCAAAATAGATTCAATTTCTTGTGCAAAGCACAGGATATAAATCTAGTTTTTTTTAATACATCTAGCAAATATTTGTCCTTGTGTAGAGTAGGGCTATTATGCTAGTAACCAATTAGAATTTTTAAATAAATAAACTTTAAATCAAAAATTTAGAGTATAAAACTTTCGTAAAAATGTCTGATCTAATATGGATTTATTTTATTCAATTAGGACATGTAGCTGGATTTAAACAAAAAAGAAGAGAATATAAATATTGTAATCAACAGGTTAATGATTCTCTTAGAAATGCACATACACATTTTTGAAATTGTGAACTAGTCACATTTGAGTAAAAAAAAAATTATTTTAGTGATTTATACAAAGAAGATATTAATACATCTATGAATATACCTGATATGTTGGCTTCAGCTGCATCAATATCTACATTTACTTCAGTTACATCAATTCTATCTTTATTATCTTTAGTTATGCCAACTTTGTCTAATAAAAATATATTTGCTAAAAACACAAACAGAGCCTGAATTACAAATTATATTATAGTTGATCGTATGTTTAAAGTAGAACAAAAATTACTTGAGCTAGAATTTGCACAATCAGTCTTTCAGTGTGGTTTATTTTTATCTTTACCTAAAATGGAGCTAATTAAAAAATTGTAAAAACAAACACAACTAGCATTCAAGTTGCCTAGTTGAAAAAGACTTTTAACAACTTTATTAAATAAGTTCTATGATAAAACTAAAAAAAATATAGAGTTCTTAGTTAATAATAGTAAAAATTTGTGTTTTGTATCAGATGGTTGGTCTAATTTAGTACAAGAACATTGGACTAACTATATTCTAACAATGCCAAAGCCAGTATTTTACACAGCTTATCCAACTAATGAAACATATTAAAATAGTGAAACAATCACTTATAATTTGGAAAAAATAATAATTAAAGTAGGCATATCAAAGATTTTAGCTATTGTTATAGATAATGCCTCTGTAATGAAAAAGACAAGGTGCTTATTAGAGGTAGATTACCCTGAAATTTTGTTTTTAGGTTGTATTGTGCATAGTTTAAATCTTTTAGTTGGTGATATAATAAAATTATCATAGAGTGCAGATATATTTAAAAAAGCAAAAATGATTGTTATATATTTTCGAAGACATCAAACTTCAAATGCCATATTAAAGCGACACCAATTAGCTTCATATAATCGTTAAATATCTCTTAAGTATTCTGTTAAAACATGGTAGAGATCCTCAGCAATATGTCTTAATTTACTTGTTCAAAATTAGCTTGCACTTAAGTTAACTATAACTGAATTAGCTCATAACAATCATATTGCATTATCTAATACTATGATTAGTACTATAAATAGTGAAAGTTTTTAGAAAGACATTAAATCTTTACTAATAGTATTAGATAAATTAGTTGCAGATATTGCTGCTTTCGAATCTGATATACCAAGCTTAGCATTATTTTATAATTGGTATCTTGAGCAGTTAGAGTCCAACAGTAAACAAATATTATATAAATACATATCTATAGTTATTGTGCAAACTCTTATAATTATAGATTTTTTTCTTCTTATTATTTTTGTATATTATTATATAAGCACAACAATCTTTAATTAAAACTCAGTTAACCAATAGTGACTTGTAAATTATGATTATAATTCACAGTAATATCAATACTGGATTATGCGATAATAAATATTATAAAATTTGTTCTGCTAAAACAAATGGTTGGCTAAAATGCCACTATGCAGCACATGTCAGCCAACCATTTGCTCTGACATAACAAATTCTATAATATTAATTATTGCATAATCCAATATCTTATAATTATTATTTATTTTATTAATAAATTTATCTATTTTGTTTTAGCTTATATTTTTCCTGCCATAGGTTCTGAAATTAAAACTTTATTAGAAAACTGGTGGAAAAAAATGTATCAACCTGTAATATCAGTAGCTCATCTATTAGATCCACGATATCATAGAAGAAAACTTCTAACTAATAGCAAGTCAACTATTTCAACATTCATTCAAAAATATTATCCAACTGAAGCAGATATTATTTGGCGTCAATTACTTCAATATAAAACTCGAGCTGGCATATTTGGTTTGAATTTAGCCTGGAATGCAGTAGATGAAGTAGATCCAATTACTTGGTAGGAGGGTAATTTTAAAGAATCATCACCAGAATTATGTAAAGTTGCATCTAGAATTCTCAGTATCCTATTATCATCAGCCACTGCCAAGCAAAATTGGTCAAATTTTTCCTATATTCATGATAAAAAAAGAAATCAATTAACACTACAACAAGTATTAATGCTAGTATACATATATAGCAATTATAAACTTATATGCCCAAAAGTAGAATCATGGATATATTAGAAGCAGCAATATGTTTTAACAATAGACCTCGTGATGAAAATAATAAATTTGAATTATTGAACCCAGATATGGATATTCATCGCAATACAACAAGTCCGATTGGATAAAATTAAATACAGTATATACACTTCTAAATCAGATATATCAAAAAAGACACTTTAAACAATGGACATTGGCGCAGTAAATTGCTGGTAAATAAGTAGGTATTTTTTGCCCTGTTTCTAGTATACAATTGCTTCTCCATATAATAATAATTATTTTCTGTGCATAATGAGGCAGACTATGAGCTACTCATAAGAAGCACCACTATCAATGGTCAGATAATAGACAACTACTCCTGGGAAAGACTGAATTTTTGTTTAAAAGCACCCTAAATATTTATCGCTGTTTTTGAAATGGTTGTAAATAGCAATATTCTCAAAACAATTTTTTTTTGCGAATACAGTTTAGAAAATTGATCACATTAATCAGAGATCGATTTCTATCTATATATAATGAAATATATACTATATATATATATATATATATAATATATAATTATTATGTTAAACAATTACTCGCCTAATTTATCATTAAATGCTATTTCAACCATATCGAAAACAGTGATAAACATTATTTAACATGAATCGAATAGCTCACTAGTAGCTCACTTAACAATGTGAAATTTTTTTTTTAACAAAAGAATTGTTAAATTAATAAATAATTTCTAACAATTAATACTTAAATTATCAAAAATGCACATAAAGTATCAATAGAAGTAATCAGAGAATTAAATATATTTTCCAGTATTTTTTATGTTCTTTATATAAAATGATTTTGTAGTAATAAAAAATTAATCAATAATAGTTTCTGTAAAAATATATCAGCGATAAAATCTTCTATAACAACTGCAAATTAAAAAAAAAAACTATCGCACATTGGATAATTCGTTTTATTAACAATTAATAATTAATAACTAGAAATCTCCATCATTAATCTTTATTTTAAAAAAAATCCAAGAGTATTATTATTTTTAACAAGAGTGAAATTCACTGGGGGTGCTATATCTCAAAAACGTACTAAATAATTAGAGTTGGGAATCCTAAGTAAGAATCGTCTCAATGGTAAATATAACAATAAAAAATGTTAACTGATAAAGTATAAATTATGGCAAGTTATAGGGCATCCTAATCCTTGCCAGGACTCCTAAAACCTCATGAAAACTAAAATCGAGATCTACATTATACTATAAAATATTCTACAAGTTAAAATTGATAAAACAGCACTGGCGAATACTCGATTAGTTTAGAACATTGGTGCTATTACTTAGATTAGAAATCGATCATTTTTTTGTACATATGTACAGTTGTTTCACAAAGTTTAACACAGTTATACAAAAAACAATAATTTATAATTAGCTATATAGTATAATAATGGCCGTACTGGTATTTAATATATATCATATATATTTAATTTGTGCAATATATTAATATTATTGATTTTTGTTTTTTTGTTTATTTTTAGCAGTTTTTTAGGAATTTTTTTATAATTTGAATCAGGGCTAAAATGACATATAGTAAATGCCAGACATTTACTGCGCTATAGCCCATTGTTTAAAGTATCTTTCTTGATATGTCAAAATTGTTAGTATAAATATTTTAGAATTAAATCGTTTTTAATAATAGACCTAAGAGGCGAATAGAAATTTTAATTTTTATCACTGTTTTTATCAATATATTTGAGCGTTATAGTAAGAAAACGTTTAGCTAGTATTATTAACAATAGTTCTAATAAATGAATAGAAATTTTAATTTTTATCACTGTCTTTATCAATATATTTGAGCGTTATAATAAGAAAACGTTTAGCTAGTATTTTCAATATGTCATCAAATATTAACAAACTCTTACCTCAACATATTAAAAGAAGTTTTCAGCCAAGTTGGAAAAATAAGCACTCTTGGCTGGAATACAATTCTCAAAACAATTTCATGTTTTGTATATTATGCCGTACTTATAAAAAAAAAAATCTTTTTGCAATAAATGGTAATTTTAAATTATTTAATTTGTACGTATTATAAAATATTTAAATAAATTTCTTATAAGTAATTTAATTAGGCGCTACAAATTTTAAATATAGTGCTATAAAAGAACATGCAGAAACAAAAGATCATTTAGATTTATGTAAAAGAAATAAAATAAAAGTGCCATCAGAACATATTATAAGTTTAATGAAGATTATATATTGTATGGCAAAAGATGATCTTCCATTAAACAAATTTAAAAATCTTACTCATCTTGGCCGTGCTATTGAAGCTCCACATTTGATTCCCGAAAACAACCCAATTACTTATGAAAATAATATATATGGCCAAGAATTGTTGTCTTCTATATCTTCTTCAATTGAAAATAATATTTGGAAGGAATTGTCTCTTGCATCAGCTATTGAAATTATAGTTGATGAAAGTACCGATATTGCTATGGAATCTCATATTATAATTTATGTTAGATATTTTATTAATAGAGTTATAAAAATACGATTTTTATGCTTATTAGAAATTGAAGCTAAGGATGCAAAATCAATATATAATACAATAATTAAACCATTTATTGCAAAAAGTATGTTATAATTTAATATTATATTTTTTATTTAAAAAACCAAATAATTAATTTTTTATTTAATTAGAAATAGGACATAAAATTTTTTTATTTACCTCAGATAGTGCAAGTGTAATGCAAGGAAATATTTCTGGAGTTGCAACACGAATGACTGAAGTAAATCCATATATACATTCTACACATTGCATTGCGTATAGATTAGCATTAGCATGTGAATCTGCTGAAAAACAGGTAGAATTCTGTGTTTATGCCAAATCAGTTTTAAAAAAAATACATACTTTTTTTAGCAATTCAAGCAAACGAATTTAAATTTTATTTACATATCAAGAAGCTCTTAATAAACCCCTATTAAAAATTCCTAAAATTTTTGATATTCGATGGTTTTCCTTATATGAGGCAGTATATAATATTTGTTTTTCAATTGAACCTTTACTTGAAATACTTGTTCATACTATGAGTGAAATAAAAAATCAAAATACCCAAAACTCAATCTTTGATTTATACACAAATCTTTGTAATTGGCAAACTATAGCTTTTTTTTATTTTCTTCAAGATATTCTTACTGAACTTGTAATATTATCTAAATTTTTTCAAACTCGATTTCTTTATTTTTATGATATATATCCTATAATTCAAACCACTATTACAAAATTAGAAAAAACCTATTTAGATATTAACAATAATTGTTTTGAATTAAGTACTAATTTAAACAAATTTTTTATTTCTACTTCCCCTAAAAAGAATACAACCATTGGTTCACATCTACTTATTTGGACATTAAATCAAGAAAATAACTTAATGGTAGATATAGTAAGTTTTACATCTATATTAATTTTAGAGATTCAAAAACAATTTTCAAATAATTCTTTTGTTGATGCTATGAAGATATTCAAATTATTAGATGAGTTATTAAATAATTAAAATATATTAGAATTCGGTAATGAAGAATTGTGCTATTACTTAATTTTTATGGAAAGCCTCAATATCCCTTATTCCCTCTAGCAATAGTTAATCCTAACAATACACGTATAGAATGGTTCTATTTTAAAAAGTTGATTTATGAAAATTATTCAAATTTACCAATAGATGAATTGCTTGTTTTATTATTTCAACACCATATTGACTCATATCCGAATATTGGTAAATTATTAGCAATAGTATATTCTATTTCCTTCTCTAGTGTAGAATGTGAGCATGGTTTTTCTAAACAAAATTTAATTAAGACTAGATTGCGTAATGGTCTAAATAATGACACATTGCATATGTTAATGATAGTTGGATTAGAAAAAACGGATGTAACAGAATTTAATTTTAATGATGCTTTGAGGATTTGTCATCAAACTAAAGAAAGAAAATCAAATCAAATAAATAAAAATAGAGATTAGTTATATATAAATTATTAGAAGCGAATTACCAATAAGTTAAAAAATTAATAAATACTATAAGCACATATAGTATAAACAAGACTTAGCTGATAGCTGATTTACTAAAATTATTCCACCATTAAGAGGATTGGTTAGAGAATTTAACCAGTTTAAACTTGAGATAGTTTGCCTTTATTAAGCAGTATTTATCATGGTATTTTAATAAACTTCTGAGTATAAGATGATATATGTTATTTGTGTGAATCATTTTAGTGTAAGTTTCTTGATCTTTATGAAAGTGTGATTTTCATCATGCTTGTTAATAGAACATAGTTTTTATACTAATATCTAATACTGAATAGCTTTTTCACAAGCGTCATGTCCAATTCTAGGATGGAATACAGGATTTGAAAGCTTGATTTTAGGCTCACTGGCTCTATAAATTTGTAACCTGTCGGTGCAATTATTATATAAATCACTTAGTATTAAAACCGTCTAGTCAATAGCAATATAAGCTAATAAGTATTTGTATGATATGATGCTTGTAAATTAAATTATATAAGCTTACCCACAAAATATATATATATTTTCATCAAATAAATAACATAGTATGGATTATAAGTTTTAACAAAATGGATATTTTAAATCATAATTTTCGTCAAGTGGCAGTTAAAGATAAGAATTATAAAACGTATTTTTTATATTATATAAATATATATGTGTATTTATTATACGTATACAGTCTTCCCTCTCTATAATCACACTGTCGGGATCATAGTAACTTTTTTTAAAAAATGTGCTTATACAGTAT